GCTCAGACGAAGAGTTGGTAACAGACTCAGTAGGTTCTGATGGCATCCCACTTGCAGGTTTGGGTTGAGAGCTTTGATCTTTATTAGAATCAGGATGTTTCAATGCCTTTTGGACATTAACCACTTCATCGAGTAATTCTTGAGCTGCCTTGAGGTATTTGGAGTTAGAAATGGTATTTGAAAAGCCTGGTTCATATTGATATATGCTGGAATGAATCCCCTTGTGACTTGTTGAGCCCTGAGAATTGGTAAAAGGCTCTCCATCAAATGCATTGCTGCTTTCCCCAGGAAAACTACCATTAGAGATTCGCAGCTCCATACCTCCTTTGCTCTCATCACCATTACCCCCTTTTCCAGAAAATGGAAGATAATTACTAAAGAGGGAAGAGTAACCCTGACATGCGTACTGAAATGAAGGTACAGGAACTGCAGATTGTATCTGTGTGCCAAGGCTTAGAGACAATCCTTGAGACTGAAAACTCTGTTCAGCATCCAGATTACTAGGTTGTGTCCTTGGTATTCCTTGGTGATCCATGGTAAGAGGGTTATGAATTTGATTAGTTGTTGCAATGTTCAAGTGCCCATTGACAGATTGCAGATTCAGTGTGTCACTTGTAGATGGAATGAAAGACATTTCACTTCTACCTCCAATAGATGGGATTTGAACACAGTTCTGAAGAGACAAAGAACTTCCAGACAAGATCTCTGAGAACTCCCCAGCTGAAGCTTGGTTTAGATATATCATTGAGCCACCAGTTGGAAGCAAATCCAAAATAAGCGATAGGGTTTTGGTCCACCAGATGTGAAGTTGGCAAATTCTCTTTTTGATAGCTTACAGTACCTGGGAGAGAAGTAGCCATAAGTTGCTTCCCTAAGTTGAGCAGCAATTGATGGAGGGTGAATCATTTATAATTTATAATGCTCTTGATGACTCAAATGATTGCAAAAAAATGGGTACCCCCAACAAGAAATTAATCATTTAATCAACCCTAATAAATCAAAAACCATAATTAGATATAAGTCAGATATTGCAATTTCCCAGATAATATCATCAAATCTAAAACTAGATTCTTGCATAGTTTTTCTTGGCTTGTAACATTTTCCCAAAACACTTACAATTCAAAGAATCAGAGAAACCAGAAAAGCTATGAAAATGAAGCAAGTAAGCAAGCAACAGGCAACACAGTTAGTATCCACTTTGAGAGAACCCCCCAACTACTAGATGGAACCAAATTTTCTACCAAGTTCTTTTACACCAAAATCCCCTTGATCGAAAGAGAAAAATTAAACAAGAATAAATTAACACAAGGAAAGTTCTTAAAAACCCAAAGGTAACAATTTACCAGAGCCAAAGGGAAGGTTGGCTGATTTCCTAACAAATTTACTAAACTTGTAGTTTCAGCAACAACCAATTCTTCCATCCCTTGGGAGGATTTCATTTTCTACTATTATCCTGAAAACCATCCTTCAGCTATCTAGTTAAATTTTGCATTCAATACTGCTATTGACCATAAACTCAACTGTAAAGATACTAACTTCTCCAAGAAAGTCAAATTGAATCATGTAATAACAGACATCCAAAGGAACCAAGTAAACATCCCGGTGTTGAGAACCCAGAGCTAGAAGGTCCTTAAAAACCTAAAGGTAACAACTTTTTCATTTTAGCTTTTTTCACCCTTGCTCTTTCCTATTTCTTCTGATCACCATCACATACTCACAGCCGATGCTGAAATTAGAAACACTATCAAGTAAATCCATAAACAGCATAATCACAGTCAAACAAAGAAAACACGCCACTTCCCAAAAAAATTCAATAACCCCACTACTAGAACAAGACGCAAAGATAAGAGCCTAGCGAACGAAAAAGCAAAATTATCATCATCCAAGAGCTAAAATCCAAACCCCTAAAGTAAAACCCTTCATGCTTTCCTATTCCTAGCATCATGATGCAGTTTGAGCACTATATAACTCAGAACCCAGGAACAGAAACGATCATCAATCCATTTTTGTGTGTGAAGAAACAGTATCAATCAATCATTACCACAGTATCAAAAACCCAAAATAAAAAGATGGGAGAAAAGGGGAAATAGTAAAGCGAGATACCTGAAAGCTTCAGGATAAGCTGCGTCTCATGCGGGGAGCAGAAAAAGGCTCGAAAACACGGTGACAAAAACCAATCCCAAGAGATATAATCCCAAACGTAACCAACCTCTCTACCATTGGAACATTGACACCCACCCAACAAATAGTAATTAACAATTCCCAATTCCACCAATAAACTATTGCAGAAAAACAATTGGGTGACAACAACTGCAATAAATTATTTAACAAATTATGATAACAAGGAAGAATAAAGAGAACACTTCTGCATCAAACTATCAATCATTCCAAGAATCTCACGTGTGACAGAAAACCCATCAATTCGAACCACAAAAAGTTTAAAAATTTTTTGCTGAAAAAGTTAAGAACAGACCAGACTCATCTCAGTTTTTCAATTCAGAACCACAAAAAGATTGAAAATTTCTGGTAAAAAGCAAACACCAGACCAAACCCATCTCATGTTTTCAATCCAAACCACAGAAAAGACTATAAATTGTTGATAGAAAGTTCTTAGAAGGAAGGAATTTGCGTGGTGGGTGTTTGTTAATTGTTATATTGCTTAAGAGAGTTCAAAACCTAACTACCAGTTGGTAGACCTATTACCCGCCCTTAAGCCTCCTTTTAACGCATAATGTCTTCCCTTCTTCTGTCCTTCTCGTGTTCCATATGAGGCAAGCATCCGAAGCTATCCTATTGGTGTCCTCTTTTTTTTTTCCTTTTCAAATGAAAATGAGATTAATAAATGAAAATAGAAGGGGATGGCAGGTGTTTGTTGGAATCACCACAGTTGGTGAGAGTGACGGAGTCTCACGTTATTTCCACGCTTAAGATGCCAGGCAGCGTCGTAGCGGTTAGCGGTTAGCTGCTGACGGCTATGTCTGCCGCCAATCCATCTCATTTTTATGTTTTTGTTAATTACAATAATTAAGGAAATATTAGCTGGAGCTCACCTTACCTAAAATGCAGCGATTTCCTCTTTCAATCACCATGATTAGTTATTAATTATTACAAAGAAAAAGGAAAAAAAAAAACTAATAAATGTTGTCCTTTTCTTTCTTTGAACAACAGAAGACCTTAATATATTTTTTTATTATTTTAGGTTAAAAAACAGAGATTGTAGTAGAAAGGGTGTCCATTTTTAAGTAGCTTATTGAGCATATATTTTTAATAGGAGGTGTTAGGGTATAAAACTTTGAGTTTGATATTTAAGTATTATTAATTTTCTATCTTTAAAAGTTTTTTAAGCTCAAAAAAAAAAAAAAAAACTAGATGAAATATTAGTTTCAATACATGAAAACTAATATAAAGACGTTTTAACGGTAAATAAAATAAAAAATAAATATACCACGAGGAGTGAATATGGAGATGTTGGTAAAATGTACAAATCACATATTCAAACGCCACCAAAATGAAGAATTGTAGTATATCACGGTTGTTTTACCAAAACTTTGGACTTGACCTGGGGGAATAAGAGAACATATGTAGTTGATTTGTTTAAAAAAGCAAATTAATGATGCCAACAACCTAATTACTTCAATTGTAGTCTTCTTTATTTTTTTATTAAAAATAAAAGATTTTGAATTAAAATTACATAATATACAAATATGATATATTAAAAAAAAAAAGAAGTTTTCTTGTTATATAATTCAAGATAAAAAAAATTAATAGTGATGCATGTATTATTTTTGTTAGTTCATTAGATATATATATATTTTGTTGATTGCACAATAGAAAACAATCTTCTCCCATTTTTATCATATATTATTTCACCCGCATGTCATGCGACTCAAATTCAAGATCATTTATCTTCAGCGGAAGAAAATTATCACTTAATTATTTAAGTCATTTGCAATTCATTGAAATATATTGTTTTTTGAGATATGCTATAGGAATATGGTTATAGTTACCATATAAAATATTAAGATCACTAACTTTTTAATTTTTGTTAAATAGTGTCTAAAATATTAATTTGTTGATTGCTTTTAATTTATTAACTAATAAATATCAATTTTTTTTATTAATTACTAGTTAATAACTATAATTATTAATTATTTTTATCAATTAAATTAAATTAAATTAATATTTTATAATTTTTGATACCTTAATAATAATATTATAAGTTTGGTAACCATAACCACTCCCAAGCTATAGAGGCTATCATTGGTATATTATTAACAAATACTAAAAGCCAGTTGTTGGTCAAAACACAAATAATAAAAAAGAGTTACAAACCATTTTTTAACAACTATATGCTAAAAATGCAAGCTTCACATTGTGACTCAACTGTAAAGGTGTACAACAGTCTTTGCTTATAGGTTCGAACCACCCTCCTCAAACGATAAACAAAAAGGATAAAATGTAGTAATGGCTACTATTTGAAAGAAAACATCATCTCAATGCTATGGGTTATTAATTATTATCATTAGAGACGCCGATTTTTTAGTTTGTTCATTAAAAAAATGGCCGTTCAAACTACAAAAATATCAATACACTCTCAAGTATTCAAAACATAAAAAAATTATTTAAAATATTAATATATTTAATCATAATTATTAAATATATAAAATACAAAATAATTTTAATTTTATTAAATCTATTATATAATTATTATTAAATATTTTGATATGGTTAATATTAGATTTTTATTTCTCTTATAAAAAATAAAAATAGGAGTAAATGAGTGAGTAAACGGGTGACTCGTGATCCGACCATCTGGAAGTTGCATTTTCGTGCTCCCCCTTTGCTGAGAAGTTTTATGGTGTTCGTGGCTCAAATTAGCAGCGTGAAATCGGTTGTTCATTTTACACTGTGATTTTGCCACGTCAAAATATTTTTTTATTAACTTTTTTGATATACGATAATTAAACTGAATTTTAATTAATTCTAAATCAAATTAGGTAAGATTCCATTAAAAAGAACTTTTATAACATCTGGTATTTTATTTATAACACTTGTTACTTTATTTAAAAATTTTAAATTTAAAATTTTATTTAAAAAAAAATTAAAATATTTCCACACCAAACAACAGTACGTTGGTACTTCGAAATAAATTGCACCCTGAAGTTTGGTGGGAAATGAGAAGCTCGGCTC